CTGTCATCCGATGATTCATGTTCCCGCAGCATCTACTAAGGCTTAATTTTCGTCGACCTGCGAAGACGAAATCAGTGCATACAAATTGCTTAGTCACTAAGTATACTCAAACCTCAATATAACGAACTTAAATAAAACGAAACATCGGTTACAACAAAGTAAATTAAAAATAGTCTTGCAATAGCTACAGTGTTAAAAAAGAAAACTTTATAACAAGTTTTCAGATATAACAAACTTACTGTCTTGTAAGATGCAACTTTGTTTTAATGAAGCTTGAGTGTATGAGATTTTTAACAGCATTGCTCTCATGACGCGAAAGCAGCATGACACACACACGGAGCGACCATCTGACAATGGCGTGGCACGTAGGAGCATCACCGCAGCTGCAGCCAATAGGTGACCAGTAAAAGAGCGAGGGATTATGGGATGCACCGTCTGCTACCGGCTTCCGGTTCGAGAAGAGTAGACGACGGTGAACCGCTTAGCCGCAAGCCTCAGATTATTGAGGATTCGCGTGCGCGGTTGCCCATTTATCTTCGTCCTGATAAACCATGGTCGGTTGTTGAGCCGTTAGCTGCTCCAACTCGAGAGTGAAAGGCAAACAGATGAATCGAGGGCCACGAAATGAAGAAAGAAAAATGAGGTGGGCCGCGGCTGTGAAGAGAGCCACGGCGACAGGTAGCCTTTGAGTATACACGGAACGTTAAATCCAGAGTGTGCAAAAAAGAATTTTATCATAGATACATGTGTATTCCACACTAAAAAAAGCTTACGTATGAATTTGCTATGAATATTATATTGAGAAATAAATTGTTGCGCAGGTGCACCTAACAAAGATATTATGGGAACGCGCGGGTGAAATCTACCTGCCATACGACATGAGCATCGGCCATTGCACCCATGTATATGACAAAAAAGGCAAAAGCTTCACTCAAGAGCAAGTTTACACGAAGCGCTGGACGAGTGCATTTGCATTTATCTTGGTCAAACTGTGCGCCAGGACGGCAATCAAAGGAAAAAGTGCGTTAAACAAGTGCAAGGTTTAGATTATTCGGCGCCGCCTATGTCTGACTGTATTGTTTATGTGCCGCCGTGCCGCGCAGCTTAATCAAGATCAGCGTTTATATAAGCATCTGGCTTCGTCTAAGATATGCATCTGATAGCGCGCAGAAGGCGAGAAGAAAAAGATATCTCAATACGCTCAATAAGTACTCGGCCGAAGCAGCGATTCCGAAATGAACTTTTAGCACACTGCTACAGTCATCCCCATCCCCTGAGATCTTTAAAATAGTGATTTTTTTATCTGCAGTAACGTATCATACAATGAAAACTGTTTTCTGTATCGACTGATCTGCTAGCCAAACCGACAGTACCCCCGAGCAGCATAAATGCATTGCAGATCATCTTAGTGCGATAAAAAAAAAAAAAAATTTTCTAACCGTTCATGGCTTTCGTAGCTTGTCATTGTCACTATCACGGTTACCAAAAACAAAAACAAAAAACTTCTAAAGCACCGACATCACACGGAGAGGTGTTTTTTTTTTTTTCAACGGAGCGTTACTAATATTCGCGCGTGCTGCTGCTAACCAGCGTGGTGCGTCGAACCGGAAGCCATCGTATCCCACAGTTCCTTGCGATTGTCCATATTGCCGGTCACCTATTAGGGGCCCCAAAATGACCCTCAGCCATTTGCTTTTTGTGTGAAGGGAGGAGCCAGCTAAGGCACAAAATTTGAACACTGAAAAATTCTCTTTCCGACCAGCCCAAGCTCTGTTAGGTTGCGCTATCGCGGAGCAATAACTTTTTGAAAAACGTATTCTTTTTTTTTTCTTGAATTTTGGCAATAATTATCACCACTTCTGTAGATGCAACATTTTTTAAAAGCACTCCCACGTGGTTTCCAGCAACGATATTTTGGAATTAGATAGAAAAAAAAGGCTACAGAAACTGAAAATGAGATTTTCAGAAAATAGATTCTTTTTGTCCTTTTTCACAATTCGATCCATGAGGCTATAACAAGCCTGTTGTGGGTTTCTGCCGGATGCAAGCGCACAAACTTTCGGACACAACAAATCTCAGAATATAATTTACTGTATTTACTCGAAAATAGGTCGGACTTGAATATAATAAGTTGAACCTTACTTATAGTGTTCTACGATAAAAGAAATATATATTCGAATATAGGTTGGATCTTTTTTTTATTTATAAACAGAAAAATTTAAACGTAGCACAATTTTGTTTACATAACTTAGCACCCTAATCGCTGTTGGGGCCGTCATCTTGTCAGATGTGCAAAATGTTGTAGTCATCGGATTCTTTACAAGCACCTGTGATTTGCCAAACGGCCGCTCACATCGCTGCCGATTGCTGGGCTGCGAAAAGCACGATGCCGTCCGTTGCTCGCAACAGACTGTCCCCCTGCTTTCGCTAACCCATAATCAACTTCTCATTTACACAGAACTCGCGCTGCGGGGCACAATTGCTGGAGTCCTCGGCAAAAAGTACCACTTGGCGAAGTTGCCTGTGCAGCTCTGTGAACGTGACATCGTCGCAGCCACACACGTGAAAATGGTGGTGATGGTTAGAAGAAGAAGGCGCCTAATTTCTGCAGCCCGATAGGGAGTACGGCACAACACCTAAAGCAAATGCGAACAGCCACGCCAATCGCACAACGAACAAAGCACGAGGCGGCGAGGCCTCAGGCCAGTGCCAATGCCAGTGCAGCTGCGTGCCGGAAGCACGGCTAGCGGGCACAAAATGAAAGCTGATTATCTTTTTATGCGGCAGTTTTTTTCTAAACTTCGTCACTTGTTAGCATTCATGCACGGTGGTTGTCACATGTTCTTTTGCCTAGCGCAGTTTTTCACTACACAAGTCATTTATTAATAAAAAGATCCCTTGAAAGTAGGCGCTTGTACATGTTGCTCCCTTTAGTCCATTAGTGTTTTTTTTTTCTGACGCTGATGAAACTTTTTTACCCTTCTACTGCTTAAATCCTGCCACAAGCTTTAATAAAACCTTGTTCCATTTCACTATGAACCAAGAAAGAAATGTTTGCACAAGCCTAATATCAATGCGGAATCTTAAATTTAGCCATGGAAGTCCTTATACCACTGCTACATTACGTTTGCTGCCAAGCCAATAGGCTTTGCACTCGGTGGCATGCGCAACAAGCAAATGTTGAAGGAATTTAACAAGTGCTCAATCGCTACATGATTAAAAAAAAAAAAAACTTCCTCGGACATACTACCCTAATGCCACACATAAGGGTTTCATTTTTCCAACTTCTGCAAACATATCTACCACTTAAATTCTAAGAAGCCCTGAACACTTTTACAGCACAGTCAGGAACCACTGGTTATTAAAGTCTAATCTCATTAATTCGAGCACACTTAATTCGAACTTCCGGTTAATTCGAACTCACGATGAGATACCGTCAAAGCTATGTGTATTCCAATGGGCGAAAACATCTGGTAATTCGAACGCGCAAGCACTTGCGACGGTTAATTCGAACATACCGCGCTCCGAAAATGCTCTCAGCATCCCGCCCAATCCCGCGGCGGCACCTGTGACACCTCAACGCTGTGCGCGAAGAAAATAAAGAAGAAAGAAAAGGCTGCAATGGAATGTTTACTCTCTCTCAAATGCCCATCTGTGACACGCCCGTGTCACGCTTCTCCCCTTTCCGTCCCCTCTCTTTCCCTCTCTGGAAGACCTTTCTTCGTTGGAAGACCCTTCTCTTTCCAATGTGGTGCGCGAACAGAGAAAGGAAAAAGAAGAAAGCCGTCAATGAATGTGTGGTTAAAGGAAAAAAAAAAAAGGCACTAACAGCTGCAGCCCTTGCCCCCTGCCGGAGCACGGCTCTGTACCTTCAGGGGGAGGGCATCTCTCACGCACTGGTGCCTAGCTTCCCCCTTTCCCGTCCCTGCCATGTAACCCTTCTACTTTCAACGACGCGCGCAAAGAGAGAGAAAAAAAAAAGTTTTCTCTCAAATGCCGATCTGCTACTCTCCGCGTGGAGATGCTCTTCCTTTCTCGTCACGTGCTGGCCATGCTTCGGCTGCGTAGCGAAGAGCGGGAGGCTTCGCTAGGCAGTCATTGTTGTCGTCATCTTTAGAAAGTGACGGCGCTGGACATTTCCGCGCGAAACTTATCTTGCCAGGAGAATTCTCAAGCAAAAGTAGAAATGCTTTGCAAGCTGCGTGTGAAATTGATTGACTCGCTACAAGGCGAATGTGTGCAGACGCGCATCACCAATTACTTTCATTAATAATGGATGCCCTGTGATTTGGAAATAAACGTAAGTCTTCTGAAACTTCCCCCTCGTGTGTTAGCTCAATGCACATGCACCACTGCATGGAGAACCCTCCGTTTATTTAGCTTTCATTAATTTGAACTTCTTTTAATTCAAACAAATTTTTGGGCCCCTTCGAGTTCGAATTATTGAGATTTGACTGTAGTATAATGAGACTTCTCAAAATGTGTGAGGCAAATATTATTGTACAGCATGCAGCCTGAAATTTACAATTCATTCTCAGGGCAGCTAGAAATCGTTCCCTTCTCTTTAAACGAATGATACCAAAAGCCCAAGCTCATGGCAATTGGCCAACTTTAGCATCATGAGCTCCATAGTTATTGGGGCCGCTGCGGGATACCACCACATTCCTACACGCATGCTCCCGATCAAAGTGAAAGTAAGGGGTGCGCCAGAAGGAAAGGGAAGTGTGTAAGGTCACCGCGCTCACTGACAAACAAACGCCATCTTTTTGCACCCCTCTCACCCCCTCCCTACGTAGCTTTCAATGCATTCGCTGGTACAATGACAAATCACTTGAAGCTTGAGACAAATCCCTGCAACTCCACTCATACTGAATGGGTGGTAAGAATTTCTGCTGTAGCCGATTCGCCGGTCAATAAGCTCCTTTAATTACCATTCGATCATTACTTGAAAACGTGTAGCAGGACCCCCTTAAGCAGCTGCAATAGAAAGTTTCACTTACCATCGTAGTAAAAGCGGACATTATCTGGCAAAGGCTCATATGCTGGGGCAAACACTGGCCCTCTGTGCTCTAGTGTGTGCCATTTCTTCCCGTCATTGTGCTTCTCCTCTTCCCACCTGCATCATCATCATCATACACAGCTTAGTCGTGTTCTCATCCAAGTGGTATTTTGCTTGCTAAAAACAACAAACTAGGTTTGCAAAATTTTCTTCTCAACACCATTTTTAAAGACAACCAAGGTGTCTAGCTAATTACACAAATCAAATTCATCGACATTTAAAAGTTTTCACTGAGCATTTTAACTAAAATTCCCTAAATGCTCCAATTGATGCCATAGAAATGAGCCGTGAAGCAGAAAAGCAGAGAACATGAAAGATATTTATTACAATAGCCTTACTCTCCAAATAAATATTAAGTACACTTAGACACTACTTCTTCCTGAGGTAGAAACTTTACAATGAGCTTCAGTGAGCACCCTTAGCTCTTTTTCTTGCAGTTCTTTTAATCAGCATTGACACCCATACCTGCCAAGTTCAAGTATTCTGAGTCCGAAAGATTTCCGCAACTGCAATGCTGAATTGTTTGCCCCCATTTTTTCGGCAAAAAAAACAACAACAACAACAAAAAAATGCCAGGCCTGTGCGAAATGCACAGCACAGTCGCAGCGAAAGCTAGAATAGCGGCCTTTCAGAGCCTTTTCTGAATACTCTGAGTAAATGCTGCAAGCACACTGCTGGGTACCTACCCACTCATAAATAATCATAATTTTTGTCTAATTGGCCATCATGCACTATGCTATCCTTTGTCATCATTTGGAGAAGCGTGGTATCTGCTGCAGACTTGTTTGAAATTTTATGCAATGTTTTATGCAGTGGCTCATGACGATGAATTATGTCTGAAGTGGGTATGCGCCACAGTTAATAGGTGATCAAGAACAAGTTTTGTAATGGGTTGGAGCATTGGATGACGCACTCGTTACGCAATTCGCATTGTGTGATGCCTGGCTGTTCTTTGATGTTCTAAAGCGCTTTATTACTCATATTAACACGATCCGTTCCTGACATAAAGCCTGCCTAAGGCCTATTTAGAATCTCGTGGGTGCTCAAGAAATTAGCAGAAAAAAAAATTTTATTTTTGGACTTCATAAATCAGTGATGTGGGTCTCAAAAGAGTAAAGTCGCATTATTTTAGCTGTAACTTCAAAATCCCACTCACTATTTTGAAGAATTTCGATGGTCCGATATTTTGCAATGTAAACTGAGTGGACAACTTGAAGGGTTAATGAAAAAACTTTGCCTATTCCTGATCCTGATTTCATCGCAATTCTGCAGAAACTGCAGCCACAATCATTCACATTGCCTTGTGGCTGCAAATCTGCAGCCACAAGGCAATGCAACGCAGCGAGACTATTGAGTGACAAGTAAAGCACCCCAGCCTTGCTACTGCCAGCACAAAGAGAAAAGAAGAAAAATAAGAAGAAGGGAAAAGTTATTTTGTGGTCAGCTAAAATGCTACTATGTGCCCCTGCAGAAAATGTGGCATGCTTCACTGCAATATAACTGTGACAAATACGCAGTGTGTTGCCTGCTTCTTCCAACGTTAGCATGTCACGATTCCCCCCCTGCCTTTCTGGGGGAAAAAATAGTAATAATAAAGGACGGTCTGACAGAATTCACAATGCGTGCTTACCTCCGACTCCCACAATTTGCACACTTGCACACTTGCACAGTTTATGGAATTCTTGTCTGCAACGTCTACTTTGAAGACTTCGAACGAACGAGTTTTCCAGTCAAAACACATGGCAGATTCTCTCACACTGGTCATAATTAAATTCATTTATCTCACCATAAATAACAGGCAAATAGTCAAATCACCACGAGCTGATGCTACAAGGAGCTAGTGACATGCTTCCCACGTGTCACTACTGCGCTGCAGTAAGCATACTTTTTTTTCTTTCTACAGGCACGCAGTTCAGCCGACTGCAAGGCAGTCCCCCCCCCCCCCCCCTGCAGGCAGCAACAAGGTCCACTGGGGTTAGAAGTACCATGCATCTCCATTTTTGTATGTTACTAATTCGAAAGTGTGAAAGCTTTCTCTCAGAGTCGCAGCGACTTTCAAGTAGCAAGGTGTAACTGAATTACAACAGCATATACGTACCATTTCCATACTTCTACTTCCTCTTCCTTCTTTGTTTTGCCTTTCTTCTTAGGACTGCCCTCCTCCATTTTGGGCTCAGCTTTAACTTCCACTTTGACCTTTTTAGGCTTAGAAGCTGCTGCTTTCTTGGCAGGCTGAAAAAGGTAGAACAAAAAGCCAATTTAAAATATCAACACATCAAACCACCTTTACTGACTAGTGAAGTGCAAGAAGAACATGCTATAGAAGCTTTATATGAGTCACTGGTTTCAAATCATGTTAGGTAAGATAACTGGGCCCCTTCATGGATGAGCCAGGTGGGAAAAACTCATCCAACAGGCTTTCTATTTCTAGTACAAACTTTACTAGGCGTGCTTTTAAAGTGACCGACAACTGGCCAGAACGTGTGATTAGAACCTAGTAAAGATGAGACCATGAAATGCAATGACAGATTTCAGCATTGGTTTCGCAAGCTAAGTAGGATTTATATTTTTAAATCGTGCTTAGAAGCAACGAAAACTCATATCGTGCAGCCTAGCAGAAAAGCCTTGAAGCTGGGTTATGTAAAATGGAGTCTATTACTTTGCTGTACTTAGCACTTTTGTTACCACATCTAGTCAAATCGATCATTGGTGATCGACACTATTCGGTCATCGATTTCGGTATGTTAAATTTATTTCTCGTGCACCCATCGTGCACCCAGCACTTTCTAGTAGTTAGTTCAGCCAATCAACTTTCAGAAGTTTTTTTGAATTTGCCGACTTGGGCAACATAGCGTTTTTTTATATACTTTTGTGCGAACCAATGTGCGTGTGCAGTTGGAAAAATGCACTAGGTTGGCGAACTTGACAGAAGTGTGTGCCCCTTGCCATTACGCTACAGTAACATCGAAGTTCTGTATTGAAAAGAAACTCTGCAAGCCAAATATCTGATTGATATGCTAGCTTTACAATTTGACGGAGTTGAGCAGTAATAATTGTCGGAAATTTATGCCAGCTATTCAATAGAGAGCTGTTGCTAGAAGTCAGGAAAAATGAATTTGACAAAAAGTATTTCCCAAGGTCCACCGCATGTATAAAGTGTGCAGGTGGTTCTCACAGCCAGTTTCCAGCCGCTTTAAATTTGCTTGTATCGTTAGAGACACAGGGTCATATCTAGTGTAACTAGTTGCTCCTACTACGTGGTCATCACGCGCGCATGGGTGCGCATCAGTGCTGCAAAACGCATGCCCTGCTTCAAACTGTCTTGCGATCCCACCTGAATTGAGTGGCAACGAGCTGAGATTTCATGGATAACAGCATCTATGCTTCAAGTTTAATGGGGACAATGTTTTGCATCAGCGGGAGACATTCGTAGCTGTTCATGGGTTTCTTTTGTTTACATCCTCAAGTTATCTCCTCTGCCGCAAGTGCATATAGCTTCTGACTTTTGTGCATAATCTTATATTTACCCAGGTTATGTGTGTGGTTCACACTTCGCTAGGGCGCGGTGTGGTGGCACTGGCTGCAGAGCTTCTCTTAACGACAAGAAGGCCCCCGGAGCACATATTTGCCCTGACTATGGAGCAGTGTGAAACCTTTTAGAACTGCGCACGATTTTGTCCTTTTTCTTAGTATGAAATGCCCAAAGATGCAAAAAAATATGCTTGGATGCACATATTGGAACGCCAACCTATGCAGAGTGAGGTGGCTCACGGAAAAAGGCGACGCTAGATGAAATAGCGCTCATTGGACATCTCATTTATAGAGGGATTATTTACATCACGGGTATCATTTTATACTGGAATACCTGGAGACTCTTATCGCAAGGCAATGAAAATTTACTGAGAAGAGTGTACGAGTACACTTGTGTCTCACGAAAAACAATGCAATGCTTCACCGCATGACATGAGCAATAAAACAGCCTCTCGGTTCTGATTTTCTTTGTCTATGTAAAAGAAACATATTGTACAACATTCATTATTTTTATACTGTTCCTGGCTCATTTTATCTACAAAATGTATATTCTGAATTTTCTTTGCTTTGAATATTTTTGCAAATATAGTGTTTTTTATTCCACTGTTTACCAGCTGGTGACGAACAATTTCACGCATTCCACATTTTTATTCATTCTAAAATATTTTTGTTGCTCTACAACATATATTTTTTTGAAAAGAGCATTTCATTCTGCGAAGTTTGCTATGCTGCAATGCGTGGCAGAGTACTTTTTAAACTGGCAAAAACGATCTTCTCGAGACATGAAAAACTACCATACGGTAACGAAAAAGTTAGTTGCATAGTCTGATGCTGTCATGTGCACCAGTCCTCAAAAGTAGAGTATGTACATTATTATCCAGTCTCGCTGAATTATGCAGAGCTTAAAATGTAAAAAGCATTGCATGGTGAAAAGCGGCATTGCCGTCATGGCCTCTGATGGGCCAAGTCGAGCCGTGACGTATGCGTACGAAGTGTACACACCCGTAGTAAACCACCTCGCTTGAACACAATCGCTCTCGTGCTCACTGTTTGCAGCATGCATGTATATGGCTAATCACTCTTCGGAATGCGGTCATTTTAGCCTCATTTTAAAGAGCATCTTTTCTGCTTGCTTTCCACAAAAAACGAACCTTTAATGCTGCTGCCAAGGTGCACTACCAGGCAAAAACAAGTGAAAGAAACACGCCGTATCATTGGCCCACAGCTATCACGGGAGTGAACTACCGGTACCTTGTTATTTCAGAGTGCGGACTCACAACACTGGCGATCATGCGCGCGCGGCCGCTACCACGCTCGTTTACCGCCATTCCTGAAAGTTTTGCAATCAGAATTGAGACGCCAAAAATGTGCTCGCAAGTTGCGCATGCTGCATAAATTCGGCAAGCGGCGCAAGAAACGTGCCATGCAGCCTAAGGAGTCATCACAGTCAGCAGTGGCTTAATCGAGACAGTTGATGGGCAGATGCCGCGATGTAGCAGTCCGACACAAGGCAGCCACCGATTGCTACAGCTTCTAGGAGTGGTGACATGCACCCGGAGTGCCACAAATCATCGCAGTCGTTGACAGATATCTCTGATCACTTCGGCGGAAGAGCACAAAGAATGTCGCGACGAAGCGGCAGTACAAAACACTCAAGACGGCGATCGCGATAGCCTCCACGGTGGTATCGGATAATTGCGGAGATACTTCGACTAGCAGCCAGGAAACAACCTCGCTGCTTGTGATTATGACGCCAGGCAATGCTGTTGCTGCAGAAGACTTTGAAGCCACAAAAGACGTGCAGGTGTGCGTAATCAAGCAGACCATGCGAGGATAGACGCTAGACTTTTTACCTGAACTGACCAGGATATCATAGAGCGTCAAGCAACACAGAAAGCATCGACACTTTCTTCGTTCTCGGGAACATATCACAAATAAGTGTTATCGCGAGTGAGTGCAGCACCGAAAGTTAGTCGGTTACTATGTATACAACTGTTGACCTTGACATAGTAAACAGCTTACTTCACGAACATTCTTCCTGCAGAGTGTGCTGGGGACAGCCGACTTTTGGACGCGGCGCACGCGAGTATGGCGTTGCTGTTAAGCTAAACCTTCGATGCAGAAACTCCAGTAAAGTTTGCTCAAAATGTAGTTTCCGACGAGTTGATGGGAACAATAACTGCAACCCATTCGAGATCAACGTTCGCACAGTGTGTGCCGTCCAGAGCATAGGAAACTGGCAGACCGCACTGAACGACATCTTTGCGGCTATTAACGGAATCGTAAATGCGGGTAAGGCGTACAAAGTCCGATTCGAGGCTGCAGGAACTGGCATCGACGGCCGCATCGAAGAGAAAATTTGAGTTTTTGAGGAACGACGCACCGGCCGGCGCCGCTCCCCCGGAGCAAAGCGAAGAGGAGGCAGGTTTTTTGATTGCCGATCTTGGCTGCATCGGTCAACAGCTCAATGCCATGAGATACAAAATTTGCCACGGAAGTGTCAGTATTCACAGACAGGACAGGCAATATGGCCTTGCCGTAAAGATGTGTGTGCGTTGCGTGATATGTGGCGACATCGCGCGAGCGTGGAGCTCTCCGCGAGTGGATGGCGCACAGAAAGTAAATTCATTCACCGTCAATATTCTCGCCGCTCGAGCCATGCAGGCTACTGGGAACCGTCAAGCGGCTATGAATGATATATATTCGACCATGAATATATTCTCATCGCGGACTTCACAAGAAGACGTGGCAGAAATATGTGATGCAAAAATTGACACCTGCAGCTAATTGCGCGGCCGAAAAAGTGATGGGAGAGTGCACGAGTGCAGTTCGCGAGCTGTACAAGGAGCTGGATATTAACTATGCCAACAGTATTGCAGTCTCGTACTACGGCTCGTGAATGATGCGCGGGCACTCGTCCCACATATGCGTGGGGGCAGTTATCGAGCTCTTCACTGGCCTAGTGCTGAACTACGTGGTTTTGAGTAACTACTGTGCCGGGTGTGAGCGTTGACCAAAGGAAGACTACCCGGCATATAAGGCTTGGCAGGACAGCCACGTGTGCCAAAAAAATAGTACATAAAAAGCTGGCGAAATGGAAGTTCAGGCAGCTGTGCTCCTCTTTGAGAGGTCCCTAAAAAATGGCCTGAAGTACACAACAATCTTGTTAGATGGTGACAGCCGCATTTTTCTAGCTTTGCAAGAAGCAGATGTCTACGGCTTCATAAAAGTACAAAAGTAAGACTGCGTCAATCACGTCCAAAAGCGTATGGGCACTGCCCTACGCAATTTAGTAGCAAGACAAAAAGGAGGTGCCTGTGAAACCCTTGGAGGAAGGGGAAAGCTCACCGGGGACCTCATCACTAAGTTGAGTTCTTATTACGGCTGGGCGCTTAAATCTCACAAAGGAAATGTTAATGCCATGCACAGAGCTGTGATGGCGACTTACTATCACGTCACTTCTAATGATAGTGAGTCGAATGACAGCCTGTGTCCCACAGGCCCAGACTCTTGGTGCCGGCAAAATGCAGCTGCTGCCAAATTGCAGCCAACTCCGAGGCACCATTACAATTTGCCTCAACATGTGTGCAAGGCTTTTCTGGCAGTGTGTGAGCGCGTGTCTGATAAAAGGCTTCTAGGAAGGTGCCAAAGAGGTAAAACCCAGAATAGCAATGAAAGCCTTTATTTTATTATCTGGGCTT